ATACAAAGATACACATAAATAATTTGCACAATCCCAATACTAATTGTGTTCACTATGTAACTCCGATATCCCCTCAAGTTGGAGGGTGAGCAAACGCCCAACTTGTCAGCTAAAGAATGATGAGGAGCCCCTGTCAAACACTTGGTAAAGATGTCCGCTAATTGCAAAGCAGTAGGAAAGTGACTCAAAAATATTAAACCATAAGCTATCTTAGTCTCTATGTGCTTCGTTCTTTCATGAAAAACTGGATTGTGTGCTATTTGAATAGCAGCTTGATTGTCACAAAAAATTGGAATAGGTGCAGAGAATGCCAAACCCAAATCTGATAGCAAACGAACCAACCAAGACAATTCAGCAACAACCTTACTTATGGCACGATATTCAGCCTCCGCGGATGATAAGTAAACTATATATTATTTTTCGGACCTCCAACTAGTCAGACTACAAACCAAGGTGACACAAAAACCACTAACCGAACATCATGAATCTGGGCAGGTAGCCCAATCGCCGTCACAATAACCAACTAAAGAAAAATTAACAGAGTTATTCAAGAAAAGTCCAGCCTCAGAAGTCCCTTTTAGGTATCGCAGAACATGTAGAGTTGCAGTCATATGGGGGACTTTAGGAGATTGAAAGAATTGTCTAAGATGTTGAACAACAAAGCAAAGGTCTGGACGAGTGTGTGTAAGAAAATTAAGTTTCCCAATAAGACTCATATACGTATCAGGCCTAGGTAAAGGCTCTCTAACATCATAGTTCAATTTGACTGTTAAATCCAAAGGACATATAATAAAAGAAGCTTCAAAATAACTAAATTCAGCCAAAAGGTCATAAATGAACTTCTTTTTGTGCAGCAGAACACCAGACTGATGATAATGAACCCGTATTCCCAAAAAAATAGTTAAGAAGCCCTAGATCCTTTATTCTGAATTTCTCATCCAGAAAGTCTTTTAATGCAGAAATTTTGGTCAAGTCATTACCAGTTAAGCTGATATCATCTACATACATAGCAAGAAAAATAGTACAGTTCTCTGATCGTCTCACAAACAAAGAATAATCATTTAAAGAATAGATATAACCTCTAGAACAAAGTGCTTGGGACAACTTAGTATACCATTGTCTAGAGGCTTGTCGCAAACCATACAATAATTTTTAAATTTGCATACCATATGAGGAATAGAATCAGTAGCTGTAGTAGAGGAAGAGACAACAAACAACCCTTGGGGAAGTTTCATATATACTTTTTCATTCAAATCACCATGTAAAAAGGCATTGTTAGCATCTAGTTGAAAAGGAGACCTTGTTTTGTTTAATTGCATAAGCGATGAGACATCTAAGAGTGCACATTTACTACAGGGGAGAAAGTCTCTTGAAAATCAATGTCTTATACTTGTGTATCTCCCCTTACAACTAGCGTTGCTTTGTATATTTCTACACTCCCATCAACCTTATATTTGATCTTATACACCCACTTGCAATCAATTGTTTTCTTCCCCTTGGGTAATTTAGTAATTTTCCAAGTCTTATTTG